CTTTTTGCAAGAGGTTTAAACTCTATTAATGGATGTTGTTTTAATAGGTCTATTATTTACCCCGTATCTATTGTATGCTCCTATAATATTTTGTTTTGCCTTATCTTCATTTTGACTTTTGAAAATACATCCCATACCCTTTAACAATATTCCTTAACTATATCTTTTTGATCACATGTAAATTTTTGTGAACAATTTTCTGTAAAAAGCTTTAAAAATGTTTCTGGAAAAAGCAATTTGGGTCATTTTTAACTTGACTGTATTTACCGGGCTTTTACAGTCATTTTTCTTGTGGGAACATTCACTTCTTAACATAACCTATAACCCGTATTTTTATAAACAGTGCAGCTTTTATTATTCAAATTTATCACTCGAATTGGCAAGACATTTGTTGACCCAATTAAACTAAACTTTTTCCCACCCAAAAGCACCACTCTTTTCAGTGTTTAAGTTACATTTGGTTCAATTGACACAATCACTTGTCTCCTAAATTCCAGAAGATTTTCCAGGAATATCATTTCTGTTGTTGTGGGTAATAATAAACATTTTCGGTAACCAGCAATCTATAACATTGTTTAGTTCAGTTTCTCCCACTTGTTGTTAGAACATTTTATAATATTGTTAAACCAATTTTTCAATTCTTCTTTTGTGTAAATGAATTTTTCCAATTATATAATCTCAAGAAAGTTCAATTCCTAAAATTACCATCATTTTTAATGGTCTGCCAGTAAAATATCATGATGTTTAAACATCTGTTTTTTCAAGGTGAGATTTTCCTTGCAGTAATTTTACCATAAAAATGGGCAATAATCCCCTGTTGCAGTTTTAAAAAAACCAATTATTTAAATTCCCTTTTTCTAATGGTAAATTTTAAATTCAATTTATCCAAAAACACTTTTATTCAAATATGCCCTTACATTAAGAACCTGTATTCAATTAAAAACGAGGACTGGCCTCCCATGAACATTGGGATCATAACCAAAAGTCCATGTATCATTGGTACTTATGTTGTAGATTAATTTTTCTGGAGTGGACCTTGGGATACCTGCTGAGTTTCGGTCCTTAAACCCGAGCTCTGAGCGTTTCCCGAATTGACTACCTCATTTTCACCTTTCTTAGCTGGGGGTCTTGACACTGTGTGATTTCGAGTGTTATTTCTAGCATAGTTATTTGATCCTCTTGTGCTCTGCCAATGAGGATTTTGATAAGTGTTACGATATCTTAATCCTCTGTTAAGATTCATAGATTGATAAACCTTGAACTTCCTTTGCCAATTTCTCCATCTGATATGATAGTTCATTCAATTTCCGGTCAGTTTTGTTTTCTTCTGGAAAAACACTTCTCACTGAATATTTTCCCCTATTTCTGTCAGCAATTTTGTGTGCATCCAAGCGAACAGCTATTTTCTTCTGCTTCACTTATTTTTGATTTGGAACCGACTTCTCTTAGTCTTAGCCTTAATGTCTGTATCTGGCAGTGCATCTATAAAATGTTCCATTGCTAAAAGTTCCAACACATCTGTTGCCGCACTAGGATATGCCTGTCGCGTTAACCTTACGGACTGACTGTGCCAATTCTGGCAATGTCTCATGCTTCTGTAAAGTACGAGTCTGTAACTTGGATCTATAAATTTTCAGCGCGATGTTACTGAACCATATCATGTTTCTGTAAATGCATGCACTTTAGCTTCAAAGCTTTTCCTTTTCTTGAGAATCCTAATTCACATAGAAAATTGCCCTAGCATTCCCCATTAAGACTGCTTGCTAAGTATAAACGATTTTAGTTTCATAAATCCAATTATTTAATTTCTGCAACTATATTGGAACTGAGTAAGATATTCATCTAAATCATCCGAACCGTTATATATTTTGAGGCTTAATTTTCATTCCTGAAAGAATAGCCTCCTGAAGCACCATTTCTCTTTCAACATGATTTGTCAACCTTGTTAAATAACACTATCTTCAATGGAAGAGACATATCTGTCATTTTGCACATAATCCCTGCTTATCGTGACTTTTTCTCGAAATTCATGTTATCAACTTGTGTTTGAAAACTTTTCAAAAAATTTTTCATCAAATTCTTCAAGGGATTGTTGAACAACTTGTTTTTATTTGATGCATATTCATTTTAAACTCTTTGGTCATTTTCAAACATAATTTTCTCAAATTTTTGTTCAAATTTATTTCTTACAGGCTCCTGTTCTAGATTGTCTTCACTTAATTCACTCACAGTTTCGTCATTTTGAGTGCCAATATCAGTTTCCCCAGTTTTCCTCATTTGTATTATGAATATCAGCCTCTATGCTTAACTCCAGCATTTTACCATCACCCTCTTTTTGCATTTTATGACTAAATGTCACTTAAGAATCAATATCTGACATTTTGACTTAGTATCACTGGTACTAGATTTAAATTCAAATTAAAAGTTATTAAAATCACAACTACATTAAACTCAATATAATTCACATAGCACTTTTTCCATCAAAACACAATCCAAATGAATAAAGAACATAAACATACGCGATATCACACCGTTGAATTTAAAATTATCCCACGCTGCCACCATTGAAGCGATCCTGCGGGCAAATTGGGCGTGTGATATCATAAGTAAAATTAATTTACCTCAACAAGATGCTCAGTTTTTGGGATTCGTCTAGTACCAGATTTAGATACTTATTTATATAAATAAATATAACAAATATAACAAAAAGAGGTGTTCATCTAATCTAAATTTTATTTACTATGTTCTACATTTTAAAGTTATTTACATCAATGCATGCACAAAAGTTCTTCTTTTTCTAACATCTACAATAACTCGCTAAGTCATCATTGAAAAATTCACTTTTTCAGAATAAGAGTCATGAATCATTGTCATTAATATCAACACATCACTTATAATACACGCACTAAACACTTCACTTAACTTCAATTACTAACACTTCACTAAAGTTCACTTACTAACACTTCACTTAAGTTCACTTTACTAACACTTCACATAAGTTTCATTTACTAACACTTCACTAAAATTCACGTTAAAAACACATTACTGAAAATTCACCTTATAGCACATCACTAATGATTCACTTAACTAACACTGTTCAAATTTGAATCACTTTCATTCACTATTTCACAAACTGAAATATTTCACCAACATGGTGATCAAGGAACTTCACATTCATTATACCTATGTAATTTAATAGACAATTTTTCTAAGTAGTTAAAATCACCAACATGGTGATTAAGGAACTTAAACTTTTTATGTACGAAAGACAATTTTCTAAGTAGTTAAATCACCAACATGGTGATTAAGGAACTAAACTTTTTATGTTCAGAAAAACCCTAAGTTGTTAAATCACCAACATGGTGTAAATTTCCTAAGTGGTTAATTCACCAACATGGTGATCAAGGTACTTTACAACCTCATTCACTTATACACAAACTTTTCTAAGTACCTACATCACCTTCATGGTGAAGCAGTAAACTTAGCACATCTGGCACAAAAGATACTAACACTTTATCATAAACAATTTAAACACTATGTATATATGAATTCCATCAAGTTACACAAACTTGCACTTAGAATAAATAAGAACTGTAAAACTTAACAACATTTCAACAAGTTGTTAAATCACCATCATGGTGTTTAGACAACTTTAAACATTTACTCTTCCATAATTAATTACTAGAAAATATTTTCTAGTCAATAAACTGTATTAAATCCAAAGGTCAGTGGAGTGAGAGATAGAGGGACTGCACAAGTGATGCAGCTATTTATGTAAGACCCACTTGGAATTGACCAATGGGCAGTTTTCCTAATCTATTAATAACTTGGACAGGTTATCTACTGATTAAGCAATAGATAATAGAGAGTTGAAGTACATGGTAGTATATACATGGTTTAAACCTAATTATTACAAGAAAAGTTACTTATATTTTCTGAAATGAAAAGTATTAAGATAATTACAATTATATCTTAATTACAAACTTTAATATCAAATTAACAACAAATAACTAGGGTCGTTGCAAGTTCTTGCCCTTGACTTAGTAAAAAGATGTTTAGTTTTCAAAAAATATTTGACCTAGAGTCATAAGATTGACAGGACAGTGGCGCGGTGGGGGCACCCGTGTCCTATGGACACATTTCTAGTTTTTATTAAAGAAGAATTAAAATGATTTGTTACAATAACATTTAAAAATATTTGAAAATTGTGAGATCCCTTCTTGATGCCTTGAAAATGGCAATAAAGTCTGGAGATTAAGATGTTTTTACATCTAGGTGAGGTATTGTGATCCCCCACCGTCCGTCGTCGTGCGTCATCAGCAATTTCTTTTAACAACATCTCCTAAGAAACAAATGACTGCACAGCAACCAAACTTTATAGGAATGATCCTAGGGTGGTCCCCTGCAAAAGTTGATCAAATGGTTCCGGTCTGTTGCATAAGTAGGTCACAGGGCCAGAAATGGAGTTTAAAAAATGCAAAATTAAAAAATCTTGTCTGAAAGTACAAGGCCTAGAGCTTTGATATTTGGTTTATGATATAACCTATAGGTCCTCCACCAAAATTGTTCAAATTTTAGCCCTGGGGTCAAAATTGGCCCCACTCCAGGGGGTCATAGATTTACCTTATATGTATATAGTGAAAAAAAAATTTGTTTGAAGGTACAAGGCTTCAAGTTCAAAGAATATTACAGTTTATGCCATGATTAATATATAAATAAAGCCTTATGTCTTCAGTTGTTGTGTTAATAATAACCAGCACTCGGCGGGGGATATAAATTCAACGAATTTGCTTGTTTCATTTAGCAACGTTACTTTATTTTTGAATTTTTATGATTATGAAAAATAATTGTGGTCCTTAATTGTTCAGTAATTGATTTGCTTTTATATGGCCTTCTCCTACCATAGATATAATATTAAACTGTTACAAATATAGACAATGTTATCTCCGCTTTTCCGCAAAAGTAGTCTCCCCTGGAAAATACTCTTCAATCTCCTCGTCCGCCATTACGGGAGTGAAAAACACAATTTAACCAAAATATCAAATATTTTGATAAAAGCGAGTGATTATGCCTTATCAACGAGGTGGTGGTAGGCAGTCTGCTGTAGTGAATTGTAATAATAACCAGAAAAAGCTGTACGACGGGGAAAACTCGCCATGTACACTGCATAATGATATAAAAGGGAAGGAATGTCCGTGTCTGACGCCATTCAAATTTCATTGCATTCCCATATCTGGCGAACGGCGTCTTCAGTGGCTAAAATCAATAAATAGGAAAGGATTTGACCCTCCTTCAAAATCAGTCGTAAGTTAAAAACATATTTTGTATTTTAGATAAGTGTTGACGAAATTTGTTGTCTTACTCCCATACAATAAGTTACATATATAACATATCAGCATACATATGTCTTGTCGCTGTGAGAATTAAGTTTGACATTACATTTTATTTTTATTTCAATACTTACAGGATATCTATCTATTAAATGAATTTGAATCATAAGTAAATTATGTACAAAAAGTTATTTGATTATCATTTTTATATCTGCTTTTAAAAGGCTAAAGCAAAACATCTGTTTTGTAATTACAGGTCTGCTCAGTGCATTTCATTGATAGACGACCGACTGAACAGAATCCTATCCCAGTGTTGCAGATGGGTTATGAACATTTAAATAAAAAGATAAACAAATAAATAGTCTATATATATTATATACATGTGTTGGTTTTAATGGCAAGTCCCAAGGCATTTATAAGGGTTGATCCTGTTGAATATGTCTTCCTTATAGTCTCTTTAATATAAATTATATTATACACAATCTGAATAAGTAGTTTTGCAGTCAGAATTTGCTAAAATTAATGAAGGAAATTAGCACATAAATATTCTACAATTTGAAGAAAATTAATCAAATTTGAAGATAATTTTCCTCAACTAATTAATTATTCCAGATTTCATATATGAATTATCTTTTTCATTTGCTGACATAGGAACGTGAAACACCTTTATCAGTTAAAGACATAGGTGCTTAATTGAAAAACATTTTTCATTAAAAGACACTAACAATTCTAACACTTTTTTTCATCTATGGACATAGGTACAGGCAAAACGTTTTTCATTTATCGACAAAGATACATCTTATACTTTTTCATTTATCGACATAGATACATCTTATACTTTTTCATTTATCGACATAGATACATCTTATACTTTTTCATTTATCGACATAAGAACATGTTATACTTTTTTTTCATTTATCGACATAGGCTCCTGTAAAAAAATTTCATAATCTTTACGTCCTACCCCTGGTTGACTAGGTGAGATTTTTGCCTTCAGGTATGTTTCTCCATCATAATTTAATAATTTAAGGACCAGATGTCTCCAATCCAACCATTTTGTACATAGTTGTATCCATACAATGACCGAAAGGATTTCATTGCCTTTCCATCATATGCCTTTTTGTGGATCAAATAATCAACAAGGTCTTCGTAAGACAACTTTGGCCATGTTTTACAATCTTTTTTTTTCCCCAACTTTGGTCATCAGGAGGTAGGCCTGAAAAAAAAAAAAAGAAAGTTGGTAAGCATCCAGTTACAAAAAAAATTAATAGTATGAAAATAAATAAATACATATCTACATGTATATAATAAAAGGTACAAAGACCAGAGCCGATCTGTGTCGAGAATGTGCAGGGCCGGTACTGCACGTTATAAATGCCCGATGAATGGACTAAGATTTAATTTGTAGGAAACAAAATGGTCAAAATCATTAAAATTTAAACAAATATAACTATGATTACGAAAATCTTTATCATAACAGATCTATATGCATGACTTTGACGAAGCTTGCGGCGAACAACAAAATCACACGGACTGCAGTACCCGAAATTTATCCCGTATAATCTAACGTACTTAAATAAATATTAAGTCAACCACTGATATTTTAACAAACATATTAAAACTGCCTTTCAACTGTAGTGTCTATGACCTGTGACATAAAATCGTATGTCCAAGCTTTTAGATTGAAAAACGCGAACGTTTTCCTCCAAAGTGCCGACATTTGCAATTTACACTGATTTATGTGACCTCTTTGTTTACATTTTGTGGCGGTTTCTTTCGGCGACTAATTAAATTCCATCGTACAGCGTACATCTCACGGAACTTACCGAACATCTATAGTCTGATTTTATTGACCTGTCAATTATGAATACATTATAGGACTCATTTAAATATTCGGTCCCACTTCGGTTTGGTCCGTGTAGTTTACGAGAATTAATGTGAAGTATATTAGTCATGGATTGAAAGTCACGCCAGCGTAATGTGAAGGTTTTCGTTAATTCACAATAGCACAGTCGGTTAAGAGAATGCCTGATAGGTCTGATGAGAGGTCTGTGGTTCGATCCTTACTGTTGCCGTTGTTTTAGTACTCTTTCTTTATTTTTGCAGTATTCTTTAATGGAACAGATTTGTAGTGTGTTTACGGCATTGAAAATACATTTATTGATTTTAATCCGTTTCAATTTAAACATGAATTCTTAAAAACATGTTATTTAAAAAGAGTATAGACATAACAAAATTAAGTAAAAACATAAAAAAAACCAAACAACATAAAATAAAATAATATATAGCTTCAATAATGTTGAAAGTATTAATAAGAAAAAACATGGACCAACGCGGTCTCGAACTTAAAACACGTGTGAGACTTAGATTATAAACTCGTGCTTTACCCGATTGCGCTACAACGCTGAGTACTATTAGTTAAGAGATAAAAATTAAATTAAATTCCATCGTACACCGTCTATCTTACGGAGCTTACCGAAAATCTACCGAAGATTAATATACTGTGTGCATCGACCGTGTAATCAGTATGTAATTGACAGGTTAATAAAACCAAACAATACCGAAGTTTAATATACTGCGTGCATCGACCGTGTAATCAGTATGCAATTGACAGGTTAATAAAACCAAACAATACACCTTAAATATCTATGGACAGGAGATCAGCACGTGGTAAGGTTAATGATATGCATGGACTATTTTTAGATTACCTCAGCAAGACGTTTAAACTATGTCAGTAGATCTAAATATAACTTGACCATGCGTGATTCGGTCACGACATTTTGGTAAGCAGGACCGACCTTTGGAGACGGAATAATACTACAGTAACCATTCTCTATTTTATAACACTAATAAAGACAAAAACCAATTATAAAAGAAACTAACTTTTGCGTCTTGAAAAAGAATTTAAACGGAATCAAGTAAAAATAGAAAAACAAACTGGGATTTCCAAAGTAACTAAAATAGCTTAGATTTCCGTAATATTACTTCGTCTGATTCCGCAGTATGACGGAATCGCCCGAATCGGAACAACCTCGGCTATTATAATTAATCCGAAGAGTGACGGAAAGGGCCGAAAAGTTGCGATTGGCACGATTGCAAATGGTTTCCCGTTCAATCATGCACTAACAAATGTAAGCAGGAAACCACCTAACTGGAACAACGTTTCCAAAAGCAAGCCAAGTTTCAAGTCATTCGGAACTGCCTCGGCTATTATCTATAAAAACCCTGAAAAAATAGGGTTTAAGATTTCACCCTACTTCGATAAAAACGAAAAAGAATTTTTAAAAAAAATTATATTTTTACACAAATGTTTTCCCCACTCTTATATTTAAAAATTGTCGACAAAAATTTTGAAATTCAAATACCCCATGGGTTAAATTTTTAAACAAATCCAAATGTAAACGGGTTTTTTGTCTTTCTTTTCTACAACCATAATAAATATATAAAAAAATTAGTTTGTTTTTGTACTATAGTTCACTTTTTTAGGGGGACTTTACTACATATATTAAAACTACACTTTGTCAAAACCCAACAAAAACTTTTTTACATTTTTTCTTAGCGAGTTAACCGAAATACCGCATCCTTCTGTTATTCATACTACTAAGTTTTTCGAGGCCTTTTCCCAAAAACTAGGGAAAAGGGGCCGAGTAGTTCATTGTTTCAATTTTTTTGATATCTCAAGGCCAACTGGGCATGTGAGAAACAACAATATAACAAATGTTTTACAAAACAAAGTAAAGTGATACATAATTGAAATGGCAATGTTATGAACATAATTATGTACATAAAAAAGAGAACAAAAATAGAATAAAAAATAGAATAAAAATTATAACATATTTATACTTAACAATTTAGAATCGGAGAATGAGATCAAAATGAAAAAAAAAATATCAATATGAATTATTAAGCACAAAGATTATTTTCTTACAGAATATTGCTAGATTGAATAAAACATATTGCTTTCACTATCATTAAATTAGAAAATTTAATAATGTAAGGTCTATGAAAAAAAATGAATTGTCTAAATATGTGTTTCTCAGTGTTAAAATAGGAACAGTGACATAAATAATGAAATTCATCACCTAAACAAATTATCAGAACATAAAACAGCACACTCTTAGACTTTCTATCCAAATTTAAAAAAATCTACCTGTTTCAATTGGCATTTGTGGTTCATACATCTGAAATTGAAAAACGCTATTTGCTAAATCTGATGGTAAAATGTTTAAAGTATTTTCAAACCAAATTGAGTTTTTAAAAATTCTATAATTCAGACATTACTGGATTCATGAATAGAAGATTGCCAATCTTGAATAAACTGATCCTTAATTCTAGCAGAAATAATTTTCTTAAAATGTAGGACAGAACTAACTGTTTGAAAAATCCAATAACTTGACAGACCGAGAGAATCTAAAGAAGTATGCACAAATTTCAACCAAGGAAAATCCACATCAAAATCAGAGTAAAGTTTCTTTGACATGCAATACAGCATAGAACAAATTTATTTTTTTATCATTAATCAATTTGCACCAGATAGTTCAGAATGCTTGACTTAATTTGCAAAGACAAAGGCAATATTTCCTAGCTCGCCTTCCTGTCGCTAATAACACACGGGTCGTAATTTTTTTACACAGTTTTTTAAAAAACTTGCCTATAAATTTATTTACAAACAACCGCTGTGATTGTATAAATCCTCCATAGAGAAATTATTTCGGTGCGTATTTGAATATTTACAGATTTTTTTTCTCCAGAATATATGGCGTGAAATTTACTAAATCGCCAAATTTTGATCTTTCGATAGGATTTTGAAAAACCTGCAATTTCTAAAAGTATTAAATTCATGAAAATAATTTTGCTTTTAAAACTGTAGGGTGTTAAACTTTGTTTCTTATCCTGTTTTATTTTTTATTGGCTAGAACTATCTTAAGCTTTATTGAAAATGGCCAATTTTCCAAACTAGGTCAAAAATACCCGAAAAATTTTACAAGGGTACTATAATTTAAAAACCTTGTATTTATTTACCTAACATTTTCTTATAAAAGGGTCTAAAAACTTTTCATATTTTTTAATATTCACAATCAATGATTTTTTTTTCAAAAAACCCTAAATTAAAACACGATTTAAAGGGGGTTGTTCCTTGGCCGTTTTAAAAAGGCGGAAAAATTTATTAAAATAAGAGGTAGATAATCTTTATTATAGGGGTTTCAAAAAAAACAAAAATTACTAATAGTTTTCCCCACTAATGACTATCCTTAAAAATTCAAACAAACAATCTTATAAAAGAAAAATAAAAAAGTTTTAAAGAAATAAATTTACATTATAAAAATCTGAAAAACATTTAAATTAACAATAAAAATAGGGTAAAAAGCATTAAATT